TGCCACTCTGTCATTGCTTGTTCCTGTATGTATATATGTATATATTCTTAAATGCCATTCCTTAGTTAGATTTGTGTGTATTGGGTATATGTTGTGAAATTGTTAGATATTACTTGTTAGATATTACTGCACTGTCGGAGCTAGAAGCACAAGCATTTCGCTACACCCACAATAACATCTGCTAAACACGTCTATGTGACAAATACAATTTGATTTGAGTGTGCAAAGCTGTCATCAAGGCAAAGTTTGGCTATTTTAAATTCTCAAATATAAAATATATTTTGCTTTGCTTAGAAATTGTTGGGTTGCTACATGATTCCATATGTGTTATTTCACAGTGTTGATGTCTTCACTATTATTCTTCAATGTAGAAAATAGTAAAAAATTAAGAAGAACCCTTGAATGAGTAGGTGTTCTAAAACTTTTGAGCGGTAGTGTATATATACGCATTTATGCGTGTTGCATGACATAACAGCTATGTGTCTAAATTAAATGAACCTAGATGGAGGGAAAAATTCGAGCCAACCAGGAGTCGAACCTAGAATCTTCTGATCCGTAGTCAGACGCGTTATCCATTGCGCCACTGGCCCACTGCAGCCCCTGAAAACTAACGCCTATTCAAAAGGATAGTCTACTCAATCTATACATTAACATATCATTTGAGCCCCATTCATTCCGATCCAATGTGAACAATACTTTATTCATTTCTGGAGAAGGTTGACTGTCGAGCTCGCAAAACTTTGATGAGATGGAGACTGGGTAGCTAGCTAGCTAACGTTAGTGCAACAGGTGGGCAGGTGTTGAACGGTTTCATGTTTCACCTCTTCCTCTGACGGTGTTGACCGAGCTTCGTAGCTAGCTAGCTAGCTAGCAAGCGAGAAAACAACATTTTCATATCTCTTCTGCTAACGTTACCTTCCTTGACACGGTCAGATAAATTATCCAGCTAACACAACCTGTTAAACAACGTGGGAATATGCATATTTCATTAACTAGCTAATTAATATAGCTAGCTACTCGTTGGAAATTCGGGTTACTAAGTTTAGCTCTCTTAGTAAATCGTTAGTTGCTTTTCATGAGAAACAAATATGGTTAAAAAAATTGACATATGTAGCCCACACAGAGGGCCAATCACTGGCATGCAAACATTGACGACAGGAAAAGGTTTGCGGGTGTGAATTTCGCTGGTGACTCAAAAAACACTATGCATCGAGCTTAAGCTAGTTAGCTATCATACCAAACAGGTGTGTGTCCTGTAGCTACATGGATCGTTCAAGACTATCCAATCAGCTAACACGGCTTGACATACAAAGTTTTGACCCTCACCTCTCTCTGCCACCAGTAACAGCTATATTACATTAGTAGCAGGTGACTCGAAAACAGTTACTTTAGTAGCAGCCTGATATAATAAAATAAAGACCGTGTACGGTTGGTTCAATCAATATCCGACGGATAATCATTTCAACTGCATGAATTCATTTTTCTTATGTTGTCCACAACATTGAATTAATGAATAGAGACGGCGTGGAGGGGATACGTGTGCTCGCTGTTTTCAAAGTAAAAGCTGTCTGACTATCTGACGTTACCTGACCATCGCTCCAGCTAGCTAGCTACCTTTCGCCAGGTTAGTTATAAATAAGTGCCACCAACAAGTAACGTTAGTTAGTTAGCTGCCTCCCATCAATGCTTGGTGGCTTTACTGACAGACAAGACAGGGAATTTATATTAAAAGCCACCAAGCATCGAGCTAAAGGCTAAGCTAGCTAGCTATCATACCAAACAGGTGTGTGTGCCTGTACAGTGTACACTGTACAACAAGGATCGTTCAAATCTATCCAGCCCCAGCTAACACGGCTTGACATACCACGTTTTGACCATCACCCTCTCTCTTGCATCAGTTGAGTATGAATGATCAACAATTGTCTATATGCTGTAGGTAGCTACCTATATGTTGTCATTCCCTTCCCTCCACCTTATAATGGCAGAGATTAAAGGAATTAAGATGGATCGTTCAATTGTTCAACCATTCAATTATTTTCAATGGTAATTAGTGAGTATAACTGTAGAGAAATAAGTGGGCATACTGAGTATGCCTGCATATGGCCACCACTACACCTGCACCACTGGGCGAGATTGAAGCTGGCAGTGTTAACAGTGACACTACACAGATAGCCAGGCACAACACTTCTGCCATTCCCTGCCTTGTATGGTATGGCTTTGTATACTGAACAAAAATATAAGCACAACAATTAACGATTTTACTGAGTTACAGTTCATTTAAGGAAATCAGTCAATTGAAATACATTCATTAGGCCTTAATCTATGGATTTCACATGACTGGGCAAGAGCGCAGGCCCACCCACTAGGGAGACAGTCCCAGCCAATCATAATTAGTTTTTCCCCACAAAAGGGCTTTATTACAGACAGAAATACTCCTCGGTTTCATCAGCTGGATGTGTAAGTCCTGGGCTGGTGTGGTTACACATTGTCTGCGGTTGTGAGGCTGGTTGGACGTACTGCCAAATTCTCTAAAAATGACGTGGAGGTGGCGTATGGTAGAGAAATTAACATTACATTATATGGCAACCGCTCTGGTGGACATTCCTGCAGTCAGCATGCCAATTGCACACTCACTCAAAACATGAGACATCTGTGGCAATGTGTTGTGTGACAAAACTGCACATCTTAGAGAGGCCTTTTATTGTTCCCCAGCACAAGGTGCAACTGTGTAATGATCATGCTGTTTAATCAGCTTCTTGATATTCCACACCTGTCAGGTGGATGGATTATCTTGGCAAAGGAGCAATGCTCACTAACAGGGATATAAACACATTTGTGCTCAACATTTTAGAGATAAGCTTTTTGTGCATATAGAACATTTCTGAGATATTTTATTTCAGGCCATGAAACATGAGACCAAACACTTTACATGTTGCATTTGTATTTTTGTTTTACACACCAACCGGCCTCACAACCACAGACCACATGTAACAGCCAAAGCTGCTGTATACAGTATATGAGGTAAGATGGTGTAAAAAATTTTTTTTTTAAAAAAAAGGTCTATAAATAGTGTTGCTATGATTGCAACACATGCACACTACAATCTGCCCCAGGTGTGTGAGTGAGTTTGTGTGTGCGCGTCCCCCACCACAATACCTAATATCCATGTGTTTCCAGGTCAAGCTGTCCGGCTCTCAACTGACTCCACAGTGCTACTCCATCACCTCCGTGCAGGTATAGCCTCATGTTGACGTAATCTAACCAGCCATTGTCTGCCAACCGGTGGCATCGTTTGTTCCTCAACCTATGACACTATGGGCCAGATTAACTAAGTGTTTGCACCTGTTTTTTCATCAAGGGATAAACTTTCACCTGGTGCAAACGATTAGTAGATCTGGCCGTAGGGCCTCTAGCTAATACAACTTTTCTTGTTGACACTGTCCTCTAGTTAAGAGACCCTTTCATGTTGTTGTGACCTTTGACATGTTTTCCTGCAGAGTGGTGAGCTGGCCGGAGGAGGTGCAGATGATAAGAAAAAGGAGGGGGAGGCCACTACTACATTTACATTTTAGTAGATGCTCTTATCCAGAGCGACTTACAGTTAGTGAGTGCATACATTTTTCATACTGGCCCCCCCGTGGGAATCGAACCCACAACCCTGGCGTTGCAAGCGCCATGCTCTACCAATTGAGCTACATGGGGCACTACAGCATCTGTACGGAGTTTCTGTTACATGCGTTTTATTTACAGATACAAAGAAATGGCCCAACCACTTCAATTGATATTTTGAGCCTTGGTCTAACTAAAACCATGTGTACTGTTCTCCCATTCTCAAGGCCAAACTCCTGTGTGAGACCAAGGCCAGTATAAAGCAGTACGAGAAATACCTAATCACCCTCTCCAAGAAATCAAAAGGTATGTATGGGAGTGCTTTGGGATGGGAGATTGTCTCAAATTGAATGGAAGTGTCTAGTTGTAACCAAACATAAAGCAAGATCTGAAAATGAGGACACTCAATAGAAGATACAGAGCCTTGTGGGACTTTTCAGTAACAGAACATCTCTCAAACTAACCATGCATTATTGTAACTACAACAAGATAAACGGGTTTCTGTGTGTTGTGTAGGTGAACCTTATTCAGTACATGAAGCTGAGCACTTCCAGAGATTTCCGCATCAACACAGCCACTGGAGGCAGCGCTGCAGGAGCAGGGCAAGTCAGCAGGTGAGCATCAACCATAACACTGACACACATATATACATATATATATATACACACATGACAGCTATCCAAAACTTTGGTTTAGTCTCCTATTCACTCAGCTCCATCACACCAAATTTACTTACGCTTTATTAGTCCTGTCCATACTCCCGCATTCCTCATATCGTCCTGTTCACTCTACGGGGGTCAATAGCACACATCACGTTTATAAGTTATAACTCCATGGATCATTTTTCTTTTGGTTCTCGTTATGTTTTTCCCAGACCCAATGGTCTGAGCTGAAGTCATTCATTTCGTCAGTATTCAATTGTGTGTTGAGGAGGATACATGTAAGTGCTGCTTTGTCGCTCTTCCTTCTTTAGCCCACAGCCTCTCAGCAGCCACAGCAGAGCCAGGAGCCCAAGAAGAAGAGGAAGCAGTGATGGAAAACAATACATCTTTCTCCCTCTTAACCACTTAATGCACTCCTCTCTTAACCAGTCTGGAGCAGCCTACATTCATCCGGATGCGTTCTGATGATCCACTGAGATGGGTTGTGTTCATTTGGGCTAACTGTAGCAAAAAATAATGCAGCCAAAAACAATATAGTACCGCCCGCTGCAGACAGTTTTCTTCTGTTTGGTGCCTTATGAACATGACCCTGCATAGAACCAGTAGTTCCCATTGACGTCATTGGTCTGATGACTCAGTGCCTGGGTTGGGGCAGCCCTGGAGGACCTTTATCCCATGATGCCTCTGGCTGCACTAACTAGACAACAGAGGACTGGTCGGTTCACCCTCTTATCTCCCTTTCCCCAGAGAGCCTTTGGTGATGTCGATGATTTGGTATATGTCCAGAGCCTCACCTGTGGAGAGTCAATGTGTTGTTATTCTAGGTACTTGCTGTACAGAGAAAGATACAAGAGGTTGAAGATTATGTTTTGTATTATCTGATCATTTGTTTAAAGCTTTCACTTGGGAGACTGAGAGCATGCAAACATTTTCTGCTGTATTTATTAATTTACTGTGAACATTTCACAGTATTTAAAACATGTTTCTATGTTATCATGTACATGTCCCCCCACAACATGTAAAGTGTTGGTCCCATGTTTCATGACCTGAAATAAAGATCCCAGAAATGTTCTATATCCACAAAAAGCTTATTTCTCACAAATGTGTTTACATCCCTGTTAGTGAGCATTTCTCCTTTGACAAGATAATCCCATCCACCTGACAGGTGTGGAATATCAAGAAGCTGATTAAACAGCATGATTATTACAAGGTGCACCTTGTGCCGGGGACAAAAAGGCCACTCTAAAATGTGCTGTTTTGCCAAACAAAATGCCACAGATGTCTCAAGTTGAGGGAGCGTGCATTTGGCATACTGACTGCAGGAATGTCAACCAGAGCAGTTGCCAGAGAATGTAATGTTCATTTCTCTACCATAAGCTGCCTCCAACATCGTTTTAGAGAGTTTGGCAGACCACATGTAACAGCCAAAGATGCTGTACACAGTATATGAGGTAAGATGGTGTGTAAAATAATTTTATAAAAAAAGGTCTATAAATAAAGTTGCTATGATTGCAACACATGCACACTACAATCTGAAGACATTCTGGGGCTGTATGTATCAAACGCAGGTTTTAAGAGCAGCAGTTTAAAGAATGATATACAGTGATGATATACTCACCCTGTGGGAGGCCGTATCTGCGCTCCAGCCCTGTGGGGTTGGAGGGAGTCACACAGTCCATGGTCACCTCCTTCCTCAGACACTGGTCAATGTCCACGGCACTGAAGAAGGCCACTGACTGGGGCAGGTCCTGCATGCCTAGTGCATGGGCAAACATACACCTGTAGAGCACAAGGGTAAAGTATGGAGGAACACATGTCTCAAATCTGTTCAATAAGCTGTTTATGTAAAACAAGTAACTCACAGGCTATGAATGACAATTACACAATACTTTCAATTTTCATTTTTTTTGTAAGGGGTGATCTGGCAAGTCATCAGCAGGAGACAGTGTATGAGTCAGGGCAGTACTACTGACCTTGTGAGCAGGTTGGTGATCTGCAGGGCCAGTGCTGCCCGGTAGCGGTCTTCGCTGCAGACCAGGTAGCGCACCTCGTCGTGGATGCTGATGCAGAAGCGTCCGTCGATGTCGTGCTCCTCCATCAGCCAGCGCATGGCCACCAGCATCAGGTGGAGGTAGTCCACCGCCGAGCTCTGCACCACCCAGTTCACCCTGCTGGTGATGAACTGACACACACACACACACACACGTTCATCTCTTAATTTACAGCAAGTGTGTGTTTGATTCTGTTCTTATGATTGAGAGTGAGTGTGTTCTTATGATTGTGTGTATGTGTGTGTTCTTATAATTGTGTATGCGCGTGTGTGTTTTTATGGATTGTGTGTGTTCTTATGATTGTGTGTTTCTCCTGGTATCTCCTGACCTCGTCCTTGACGGCCTGAGGCTCCAGGGCTCTGCTAATCCTGCAGCCCAGGACGGGGGTGGCCGGCTGGGCTGAGAGGGCGATGCTCTCCAGCTTGTTGAACATATCTGACTCCGTACCACCAGCCCACAGACGCTGGCCCGCCACCTCCCACTTCCTCCTCCGAGAACTGCACGGCCAATCAGGAGAGGATGAGGTAGAAAGTAAGTAAGTGTGTCCCTAGCCAGATCTACAGGAGTATCTAGGGGGAGGGGCTAGGGGTCAGTGGTAGTGAAGGACTTCAGTTCACACAAAGCTGACATTAGTGCCTGGTTCAAAAATATCTCTAACCACTATACCTTTGGTGTTTGCAGAACTGAAGGAACCTGATAGGTCTAAACAATATGGCGATGGCTCCACATAGCCTTCCAGAAGCACACACACCCACACACTGCTGCCTCACCTCTGGGAGGCCAGTCTGGTGATCCGGCGGAGCTCCTGCAGGGAGACGCTCCCGTCCTCGTCCCTCTCCACCTCCACATCCAGCTCCTTCAGCAGCCACTCACCCTCCTCAGACAGACGGTACCTGACACACATCCTTTCTGTAATTTAATCCTCCAAAACATCCCTTGTTGTGCTATAGAACTACTGTCTACTGCTCTGTGCACATAATATAGATGCATTTAAAGTGCTTAGATCCAAGCTTAAACCTCCAAAAGAGCAAGCAGAGGCGAGTTGATGACGTTCACAGTACAGCTCCAAACTCCCATCATCTTAGCCGTACTGCACCCCTTGGTGAGGTGCTACACATTGGTAGTGGACGAGGGGAGTCCCCCCTCCTTACAATCTTTGATAACTAGGCCTGCGTCTGAAATGGCATATTATATTCCCTATATAGTGAATAGGGTGTCAGTCCTACCTAAATTCAATGCACCACTATCCTTCCTGTACCTGCGTAGGCCCTTGGTGAGGGCATACATCTGCCGGGCCTTGCTGGCGGCTTCTGGCTGGCTGAGGCGGTGGTTGAACTGCATGAGCAGGCGCTCGGCGAAGGGCTGCCCAGCGCCGTAGATGCGTCCGTAGTTGAAGACCTTGGCATGCTCGCGGCTGATGCCCACCGTGTCAGCCGTGCGGCTGTGCAAGTCAGTGCCCTGGCTCTTTTTACCCTGCAGGGTCATCCAGCCGAACGCTGTGCAGCCTGGACACACAGTAACAGATACATGATTAACAGGCCACGTTAATGACTGAATGGATTCCTCAAGTCCCCAGATATGGGGCACTGTTTGAAACATCCTCTGTTGTAAAATAAATATGAATTCCGTGACAAAATGCAAACAGACACTGAAATATTCTGACTGGGAATGAGTTCCTCATTAGATTTCTGTCTTTCAGGGACATCGTCGGAAACTCACATTTCTGACCATTCTCATAGCAAAATGAATGCAGCATCAATCGGAGTATCAGCGCTAGGGGTGAAGTCTCACCATGCATGCCAGCGAAGTGGGCCTCTCCCAGAACGGCAGCGATCCACAGCTCCTGGGAGTCCACGTCCGCCCCCACCAGGTGGTACCCAGGGGGCACCTGTACCATGGCCTTCAGCTCACTGCCCACTCGATCCCGCTGCACAGACCACACACACAACCTCTATATCAGTGGCTCCCTTAAATAAAGCTGTGTTGCCCAGTACACTTCCACCATTCTTTTCTTCTCTTCTCGTTTTCTCTCTCTTTCTATTCTCTCACCCGAGCGTTGCTGGCAGTCAGCCACGTTGGCTCCACAGCCCTGCGGGTGACTGTTCCCGCGGTGACGACCTGGGGCAAGATGGCGCCATACTGCCCCTCCTCATCATACTCTTCATGCCTGCTGACAGCGCGAGGGAGCTCCCCTTTCCTCAGCCACACCACCTTCTGAGAGCTGCCAGGACACATCAGACATGATAACACAACTGTACTTGAACCCTCTAGGATGAGTCATTTTATATTTCTCATTGTGTCTGGCCATGATGATTAGCAATATAACTGCAGTACGTCTTCAACCATCCTTTTCCAGAAATTCATTTAATTCCTATTCATTAAGTCATTCTCACATGGCTCCTGAGTGGTGCAGTGGTCTAAGGCACTGCATCTCAGTGCTTGAGGCGTCACTACAGACCTCCTGGTTCGATTCCAGGCTGTATCACAACCGGCCGTGATTGGGAGTCCCATAGGGCGGCGCACAATTGGCCCAGTGTCGTCCGGGTTTGGCCAGTGTAGCCCGTCATTGTAAATAAGAATTTGTTCTTAATTTTTATTTATTTTTTTACCTTTATTTAACTAGGCAAGTCAGTTAACTGTCCACATGAAGTGGAGCCTGGGTAGCTACCTGATGCGTTTCTGGGCATTCCTCCAGAAAGAGATCATCTTGTTGATCTCCAGAGCCCGGGTGGCGTTGGTGCCCCCCCTCCCTGCCCTCAGGGTGCCGTCTTCCATCTTGGACAGGAAGTCCTTGGAGAAGGGGCTGCCCACGTTGTTGTCATTTCCATCCTGTAGTCAAAACGGTCTCTTAAGCATTTATAGGTGCGTTCATGTGCTCAGATACTGCACAGATTATAGGATTATTATATTAAACACTTGATACCCACACTATAGCCATGCAAGACTAAGTGAACATTTGAGTTAGGAATTTGAGTTAGGATTCGACCCCCAATGAGAGGATTGGCATTTTGTTTCGGCACAACACAAATTAGGTCAGCATCGCATAGATCAGTTGATGTACCTTGTGTGGGAGTTTGAAAAACCAGCAGCCCGGAAAGTTGACATCATTGTAAGGTCCGTTTCCATGGTGATAGGGGCAGTGACTCTCACCTGGTAGAGAATTAACATCCTGCATTTCCTGGTTACATAACATAGAACATGTCACCCAACGCATTCAAATCCTAAAGATCATTGACGTAATAGGTGAAATGTGTAGGAGGGGACCATAGAGATGTATAGAGGGCGCACTTGCCATAAGAATCAATCAATGTCAAAACAGAGGCGTGCCCTCGTTCCATCTCTATGGAGGGGACAGTTCACCTTATTTCTCTTCCTCATCACCCTGCCACCGTTCTCCTCCTCTGACACACTCTCCAAGCGACCCAACTCCTCCACCTAGAGGTCAACACAGGAAATACACCCACCTGTTATGCTTTCCGACAGAAGAGCATATTTGCTATTTGCACAGAATTCCTAGTTGATATGGGAAGATCATTCTCTGTGTGTAACTCTTTATTACAGTTATCATGTAATTTATATATTCCAGCTATTAAAACTAGAATCAGCAGTTGAAACCCCCCGCCTCTGTTTTGGTAAAATGCCTGAAGAAATGTAACCACTCTCAAATTCATAGACAGCTATGGGTGCAAGGACTGACCATCCATGATATCAAAATTACAGTTTTAATCATGTTCGAGGCTATACAGTGTTTGTTTACATGTCAAACAAGCTTATATTTTGGGTTCTGATGGGGTACGACAGTTGAACTAAGCTCATGAGGCATTTATAAAAGTTATATTCTTTATGAATCAATGGGTACATATAATTAATTAAGTATAAAATGGATGTAGCAAGTAAGGATTTTAGCTTTAACGGTAATTCAGGAGGTGTCATGAAGACAGACCCATCGTGTGTGTGTGTGTGTGTGTGTGTCAGGGTCTTACCGTCTGCCACAGTGTGCTGTCGGTCAGCATGAGGTCATCAGAGAGGCCGTTGTCCAGACACCTAGGCTGCTCTTTACCTTTCTGCTCACAGTACTCTCTGTACACACTCTCTATGGCCCTGCGAGTCACAACAATACACAGAGGTAACTATACACACACACACACTACTTCTGGTGGATGCACGTATAGTACACCCAGTGATGTAGTGGTAAAAAAAAATTGGTTGACTGATTCATTAATTCACTTAGACTCATCCCTGTCTTTGGTCTCCATTTCCCCTGGTGCCCCTGACTGAGCTGTGTGTTGTGCTGTGACCTACTTGTGGGGGCACACAGGCTCCGTGGCGTCCTCCTCCTCCCCCTGGGGCTCCATCAGGTTGTCCCTGCGGCCAGGCACCAGGTAGCCCCAGCCGTGCAGCTCCGTGTAGTGCAGGGGAAAGCCATCCCATGTCAGCCCCATCAGCTTGGGAGTCACCCGCATCGCCAGACTGATCAGGCTGGCCCCCGGCGACCAGCTCTCCTCCTCCGACATCTTCACACACAACTTACGATACCACCTGGTAAGGTAGGGAGGAATAAACTATGGCCGTTTCTCAATGAGATTTCCTTGATTTCTCACATCCCATCTCCTCGCCTCCCTTTTCACCGTATAGGAGAAGGTTCATCCACTCTTACCTTCTTCTCCAATGCATTTCGAGGCGAGGAGAGAAGATGCGAAGAATCAAGGAAAGATTAATTGAGAAAGAGCCCAAATGAGAATTTGAAGAGTGAGATGGAGGAAGGACGTTGGTGAGTGTTGCCTGATGTATTTCACAGCCATAGTTATCTGTACCAGGGTGTTAGTGTGTTTTATTAGTTAACATGGAGCTCCACAGGGGGCCCAGTCCAGCCCAGCTCACCCAGGATGTCCAGGCAGGTGCTGTCTCCTCTTGGGCAGCCGGCTGACCATCTCCTTCAGCCTCTCCAGAGCCTCCCTACTTGGGCACGGCCCTGCCATCTCCTCCTCAGTGGGGGGACCTGGGTCTGACAGCACAACAACATGGCTAAGTCACCTGGTTATCTTAATCCAAGTCAACACAGCAGCAGAGTCAATCATTTTACAGTTCCACATGACACTGGACTACACCTTTACCCAAATAGGATCCAATATAAGCACACAAAACAACTTAGCAAGACAGAATAGTCCTGTAGTACTGGTATTCGGTCCTGGAACCATAGACCAGTCTTAACTAGTTTTATGAAACTGGCCCTTGGTCCATCTCTGTTCCAGGCACATATGTACAAAGAGTCTCAGAGTAGGAGTGCTGATATTGTGTCAGTTTTGCTTTTATATCATAATGAATAAGATTATATGGACAGGGCAACTGATCCTAGATCAGCACTCCTTTTTAAATATGGGCCCTGGTGTATAGTGTGAGCTCCTACCCTGGTCCCAGTCTCTCAGTGGTGTGCTGGGTGCTGGCTCAGCCTCAGCCTTGGAGCGTTTTCTCTTGCTGACGGTCACCTTCTTCTGCTTGAACTCCTGGACATCCCATTCCAGATCCCAAAGCCAGGCGTCCTCCTTATACCTTACAGAGAAACAGTCCGTTAGCTTAAGGCTGCGGCCACAATCAGACGGATGAACACGGATAAAATCGTATGATGTACATCATTGTTAGCTTTTCTTCATCTATTTTTTCCGAACGAGTTTGGACAAGTTGCATACGTAAAAAGACGGATCGTTTGAAAAAGCATTGGCTCCATCCGAAATTCTGACACAATATCCCAATGTGGCCATGGCCTTAAACACACACATATTCGGGTATGTATGCACATGCACACACCATAGTGTATTTACAATGTCATTATGTAAGCCTCATTGCTTCATGAAACAAGTACTGCATGCATGATGGTCCCTCACCTGTCATCCTGCAGCAGTTGACAAGCGTCGTCCGCAAGACTCATCAGACTCTTCTTCATCTCTCTCTGCAGCTCCTCAAACGTGTCTTGAGAGTCTTCCAGGTACCGCCCCCAGTTCTGATTGACAGGTAGGTAGCACCCGCCCATCTCCAGCATCCCTGCAAACGTCACTGGATGAGGGCACCTGTGTACAGACAAAGGAGGGACAGTGATTGGTTGAGAGAGACTACTGTCCAATGATTGGCAGGTGGAGAGGGATATGGGTTAGCTTGGTCCTAGATCTGTTTGTTTTTTGCCAACTCCTATAGTCAGTGTCACAAACAGATATGGGACCAGGCTAGAGATACCCCTAAAAGTAAAACATATTGTGGCTTTGCCTCTTGGACAGAGCATTATTGTATTATTATTATATAAAGTTTAAATGAATGAATTAAACAAGTGTGGTTGTCTGACCTCTCCATGAAGAGCGGCAGCTGCTCACAGAACACCTGGTGAGTGGCCTGGACGTCCAGAGCGCAGTACTGCATCAGCTCCTGCAGGGGGCAGCAAAGAAATGACTCAGTCATGACAAGTATAGTGGGTGATTAATGCCTTGGTTTGGGCATATATGTTCAAAGAAAAAATATATATTATTTATTTCCATCCTGACAACTACTTTGAGAGGGAGGGCAATCTAATCTACGATTGCTATATCAATGTTTTGACTTTTAAAATTAATGATAAATAGCAATTTATTCATGAAGAACATAACGTATGAATGCCTTGTGAGGTTAGTTCAACTGTCTAACCCAAAATGTAAGCTTGTTTTACTCCATTGTTTGTAAACAATGTCATTGTAAACAAACACTGTATAGCTTCACAAAATACTTCAAACTATCATTTTGATCTCATGGATGGTCAGTCCTTGAATCCATAGCGGCATCTATGAATTTGAAAGTTGTTATATTTCTCCAGCCCCATCCCTAAGCTGTTTTCCTAAAAAGGTGGCGGGGCGACCGCATGTTGTTTTTTAAACTACAGATTTCCCCTTTTAAGGAAAGCAAATCAATGAGGTTTGTAAATAACCAAACATTATTGGACACGAAAGGTTTGACTTCATTGACCTCTGACCTGGAAGTTGTTCCTGACGTCAGCCATGCTGCCCTTCACGAAGATCTCTCTGGCCTCCTTCTGCAGTGGCTCCCCTCCCACATACAGAGCATGCACATCAGCCAGGTTGTTGATGCTGCTGATATTCACCCAGTCCCATGAGCCGATCTACACACACACACACACACACACACACACACACACACAACAACACAACAACAACAAAACCATATATTAACCAATGAGCTCCTTTTAAAACTTTGGATTCCTGAAGGAAAGAACCAAAGTCAATCCAGGAAAAGAAGGGCTGAGGAACGAGATTATTGACCTGCGGATAGGCAAAAACAACATTTTTACAGAACAATCGCAAATCAACAGTTTTCTGTGTAGTTCCATAATCGTGGACTAGAAGCGCACTGACCATGGGCCCTTCCTTCCGCCCAGGCCGGCCCACTTTCTTCATATGCTCTTTGACCTCCAGGAGGCCACGCCTCTTGCCGTGCTTGTTGGCCATCCACAGCGTGCGCTGGAACCCAGTCAGACCAGAGATGGCCATGTGGAGACTCATGGTGTCCAGAAAACGAGCCTTAGAACCCTGTGGGGAAAAATAACATACAGAGACTGTGTCTCAATCCAAAGGCAGCTGCTTACCTGCCTCCAATGGAAGCATCCTTGTGGATTGGGAAACAGCCAGAATAAAGACAGAACGCATGAGCCACTCCAAAGACCCTAATGCCTGAGTCACACTATTGGGCCAAACCGAGCTGTTCTGGGCTAGCCTGAGGATAACAAAATATCATAGCCAGCACAGCACGGTGCCATTCCGCCCTATAGTGTGAATCCGGCATAAATGACTGTCAATCACACTAAATAGTGATGAATTATGCTTCAAAATGTGTCCCCGTAACCCTGTGAACTCTGACCTTCAGCAGGTACTGCTCCTTGATGTAAGACCGGTCAAAGCTGACGTTGTGGCCCACAATCAGTCTCTCCCTCCACTGGCCACCCGGAGGGCGGCTGGAGTTGGTTGGGGTCTCCATGGGGATGAGGTCAGCAGGGGTCAGCTGGCTGGACCAGGAGTATCTCTCCTCTATCAGACGCTTGCTGCACCACGAGTACCTGGCAGGAAACAGAAAGACAGAATACAGAGTATTCAATGAAACTGCAATACCACCCTGGCCTAAAAGAAATAGTCCTTGATAAATAACTGTAATTATTCCTGACCAGTTCAAACACAATATACACCATCAACCTGTCACTAGAAAAGCCTTTCAGTATTTTTATATCTACAGATCATTTTACAGTTAAAGTAAATAGGTACAAATCCTAAGAAGTGACATAAAATGTCTGGTACTGAAATAAAGTAGTCAGTTCCTCCAGCTCATTGTAACAAATCCTCCCTCCCACAGTAGAGGGTCTTGGTCCTCTCTATTAGTCTCACCAGGCAGTGGGGGACACGGCCACAGCCAGCGTGGGACAGTGTCCCTCCGCCATGCACACCTCCACGTCAAACACCAGGCCTGCCTCGTCTGGGAAGTCAACCCGTCTGGCCTCCCCACCCGGCCCGTAGCGCATCCAGCCCACATCCCACACCCAGTCCTGGGGCATGGGGGGCAGCGGGGCCTGCTGGAGCTTACTGGCAGCCTCCAGGTAGGGCAGGCTCTGCTTTTGGGCCAGTATGCGGAAGTGGCCGTTGATGTCCTCCCCGTACATGTGGGGCAGCTGGAGCTCCACACCAGGCAGCAGGGAGGATTCTTTTCCCCACAGCTGGTGCCTCTGCAGGTGCCTGATGCTCCGCTCCACCTTCTCGTCCTCGTACTCCTGCTCTGCGCCGCGGAAGATCTGCTCATGGAGGTTTTGGGACAGCATCTGGATGTTGAGAGGGTTCCGGCGGGTCTCTGGGGGGAGGGAGCCCTGGAGGGAGTGGGGCTGCTGGGTGGAGTAGGAGGTGCAGCATAGTGTCCTCCAAAGGACAGAGGAGAGAGGCCTCCGGAAGGGACGAAGACGCAGAAGATGCAGCATTGTCTAACTAGTCCTTACAGTTACTTGTTCCTCCCCTTGGACTTGATCAGGAACATGATGAAAAACTGAATGGGGAGAGAGAGAGAGACAGGATGCAACATGTTTACCATGCAACCATCCGATCAGAGCCATAAAATAATTAATAAAAATAAAATGTAATAGCTATTTAGATCATCAACATGATCCCCTGGCACTCCATTTATCATACAAAAAACATGATTGCTAAATAGGCCTAATTAGGCCTCCTTGAGAAACCTGCTGATATCTTCAAGCGACAATGCAGCGAATGGTCAGAATGCTGTGTTGATTAAACAGAATAAAATAGTGATTATTTACCATTATCCCTGAGATTCCTACCGCTTAGCAATTCACCGCTCGCATCAACGCGACATAAACAATGTGTTTCCCGGTCGTCACTAGTTACCACAGTCACAAAGTCATACTTATGGTTAAACCCCGCCTATTTCTACAATTAATCTTCTTAAAATCTGATTTTAAACCTAACCCTAACCTTAATGCTAACCAAGTTGTTAACCTTATGCCTAACAATAACCTTAAATCAAGACAAGAAAATAAGGTTTACGATACAGACAATATGGACTTTGTGGCTGTGGTAACTAGTGACAACCAGATTTCCCCGGCATGGAGGGTGAAACATTGTAGCAGACCAGCTATCTAGCGACATCCAGTGGTAGGGATGACCTCCCGTACGGAAGTGTAAGATAAAGTGAACCTTTTACAAAGTATCTGCCCAGTTTTTGATGAAAATATAATTTCAAGTCAAATCAAATCAGTCACTGGTTAACTTGTTTATGTACTATAATAAACTTTTTTCGTATCTTTCTCGTTGGTCTCGTGGCCTAATGGATAAGGCGTCTGACTTCGAATCAGAAGATTGCAGGTTCGAGTCCTGCCGGGATCGAAAATTTTGGACATAATTGTTAAAAATGACGAATGAAGGGACAATGATGCAAAGATGCCACCCTTGCTTGGTCAATCAGTGACCACATTTATATGCACAACAATATCCCGTTTTTATTCGGGATACTCAACTATTCTGTTTTTGAGTTGACGCATATGAACATCATATCCCGTTTACAATAACCAGAAAAAGCATCCCGGTTATAAGCAATGGTGTAAAGTACTTAAGTAAAAATACTTTAAAGTACTACTTAAGTCGTTTTTGGGGTATCTATACTTTACTTTGCTATTTTTATTTTTGCCAACTTTTACTTTTACTTCACTACATTCCTAAAGAAAATAATGTACTTTTTACTCCATATATTTTCCCTGACACCCAAAAGTACTCTTTACATTTTGACAGGAAAATGGTCCAATTCACACACTTATCAAGAGAGCATCCCTGGTCATCCCTAATGCCTCTGATCTGGCGGTCTCACTAAACACAAATACAGTGTGCCCCTGGCTATCGTCAATAAAAGGAATTTTAAATGGTTTATACTTTTACTTTTGATACTTAAGTACATTTTAGCAATTCCATGTACTTTTAATACTTAAGTATTTTTAAAACCAAATACTTTTAGACTTTTACTCAAGTAGTATTTTACTGGGTGACTCACTTTTACTTGAATCATTTTCTCTTAAGGTACAGTGGCTTGTGAAAGTATTCACCCCCCCCTTGGTATTTTTCCTATTTTGTTGCCTTACAACCTGGAATTAAAATGGGGTTTGTATCATTTGATTTACACAACATGCCTACCACTTTGAAGATGCAAAATATGTTTTATTGTGAAATAAACAAGAAATAAGACAAAAAAAACAGAAAACTTGAGTGTGCATAACTATTCTCAAATCTCTGGAAGACTGAAACAGGTTTCCCTCAAGAATTTCCCTGTATTTAGTGCCATCCATCATTCCTTCAATTCTGACCAGTTTCCCAGTCCCTGCCGATGAAAAACATCCCCACAGCATGATGCTGCCACCACCATGCTTCACTGTGGGGATGGTGTTCTCGGGGTGATGAGAGGTGTTGGGTTTGCGCCAGACAGCGTTTTCCTTGATGGCCAAAAAGCTCAATTTTAGTCTCATCTGACCAGAGTACCTTCTTCCATATGTTTGTGGAGTCTCCCACATGCCTTTTGGCAAACGTGTTTGCTTATTTTTTTCTTTAAGCAATGTTTTTTTTCTGGCCACTCTTCCATAAAGCCCAGCTCTGTGGAGTGTACGGCATAAAGTGGTCCTATGGACAGATACTCCAATCTCCCAATGCCCTCCTTGCCTGGTCCGTGGGTTTTGGTGGGCGGCCCTCTCTTGGAAGGTTTGTTGTGGTGCCATATTCTTTCCATTTTTTAATAATGGATTTAATGGTGCTCCGTGGGATGTTCAAAGTTTTTGATATTTTTTTATAACCCAATCCTGATCTGTACTTCTCCACAACTTTGTCCCTGGCCTGTTTGGAGAGCTCCTTGGTCTTCGTCGTGCCGCTTGCGTGGTGGTGCCCCTTGCTTAGTGGTGTTGCAGACTCTGGGGCCTTTCAGAACAGGTGTATATGTACTGAGATCATGTGATACTTAGATTGCACACGGGTGGGCTTTATTTAACTAATTATGTGACTTCTGAAGGTAATTGGTTGCACCAGATCTTATTTAGGGGCTTCATAGCAAAGGGGTTGAATACATATGCACACACCACTTTTCTGTTATTTATTTGTTCGAATTTCTTGAAATAAGTTATTTTTTTCATTTCACTTCACCAATTTTGACTTTTTTGTGTATGTCCATTACATGAAATCCAAATAAAATCAATTTAAATTACAGGTTGTAATGCAACAAAATAGGAAAACCGCCAAGGGGGATGAATACTTTTGCAAGGCACTGTATCTTTACTTTACTCAAGTATGACAGACAATTGAGTACTTTTTCAACCACTGTTTATAAGAAACCGTTTAGGAGGGACTGGGGAGAAAATGCAAAAACAGTGGAAATATTGGTCCTGTGCAAAATGTCCAATTGTCATCAATTTGACCGGTTTTAAGGAAATTGAAAGCTGAGGAAAACGACTCAACACGTTTCTGATAAGACTTCAGTTTGTCTTGTGTGCATATTTTACGTGGTGGAAATACTGTCTGCTTGCATAACAGTATCAAAGATAACACATTACACTCGCAGCTTTCGCATTTTCTCAGGCGATGGTGAAATAAAGAAATCATATTACTCCACTCCTGTTCCCGAGACAATTTTTTTTTTTAAGTGTATAATTTCACTGCAAAAAAATAATAATTCTGCAGGAGTTCATATTATAGGCTATTACGCTACGTGAGAGGTTATAGGCCTACAGTCAGTGTCCATATTTCAGTTACTATTCCATTTAACCCATATGAATTTAAATGAGAAATATTCTGTTTATTCATGGTAACAGGGATACTCATGAGCGGATATCAAAGGTGCATGTAAACATCTTATCCCGAATAAGACCTTAAGCGGGATATGAGCTACTATCCTGAAGACTGTGCACATGAAAACGTGTATTTTATGTGAATTAAGGATATGTTCCTCTCTTACTTTTTCCTGAATAGAAAAATGCATCTCAAATTCTGTGCAGTTCAAGCTATTTCTTTGCAGAAGAAACTTGCGGGGCTATTAAATCGATTCGGCCTTTTTTGTCCTTATAACCAATGTATGTTTCAAAAACCAAAACGTAATATGTAAAAGTAATTTTGGAACATGAATAGGACCCTTATGACTCCCCTTCATGCAACACTTTTAAGCTGTCCCATATGTCAGTGAGTAGGTTATGAAACCGTGACAATAGGCCTATTTTGTAGCAGTATTGTGGCCTATGTCACGTGTCAAATCTTTTCGCTATATCACCGACTTTCTAAACCCAGAGCCGCAACACCGCGAGACTTCCGGGAACGACCAAGACCAGGCCTGGGTTTGGGGTTTGTGAAGTCAATGAGAGCAGTGAAAAATTATTCCTTAGTTGTTCATTTCGAAATGTAAAGGCACAACCTAGATTCGAGACAATGTTTTAAGTAGTTGAACATGTTATTACTCCAACTTCGTGAAAGTGATAAACTGACACGTTTTCATTTTCGTCAAAAACAACTTTATATCGAAGGAGTGCCTTTGATATGACGGCCTGCACCTGCGCAGTTTGGAGCGAGACGACCGTTAGACCGATGACGTTTTTCTATGCATGAGCTTTGCCAAATACTTTTATAACTAACCCAAGATACACCACAGCCTGTCGTTTCCAATGGGAGCAAATTCATCATAGTGGGCAGAACAAGCAAGGAGGTGGGCAAAGCCAATCACGAGCTAGCGAGAGCCTATTGGCGCGTTCTAGCATGTATTTGCATATTTCCGTTAGGGAACGCCTACGCTGTGAAGTGCGTGCGGGCAATAACTAAATTCGCCCTTGCACTCCTTCTAAACAACGCAATTTTTGTAAACTTAAAGTCTATGAAACTTAGTCCACTCTGTTCGTAACATATTGTTGTTTTGGAAACATAAAACTGTATTGAGATCAAATGTTTCATCGATGCGAAAATTAGCAGAATGTCAGCCAAAGTCCATCTCCTACATCTTCTCCCACTACCGGCCACTGGGCTACCTCTTACCACCATATGTGGTAATGAGTGGAAACGCCAACCGGATGCTTCACATTTATACATCCGGTGAAATATCTGTTTCATTGTTGTATCTGTGGCTTTGCTTGCTAACGTCGCCATAACATCGCCTACAAGTGTGTTCGGGGATTTCTATTGGAGAAGCAGTTTTAGCGTATCTTCAAACTGTACTGTTGGTCGTATTGTCGTTTAAAAATTGTAAATATGGAAAACCATCGCTAGGGGTCAGTCTGTCCATTTAAACTGAAAATATACTGTACCTCCCTTTGCCCGCCGCATGCAGGAATTCAAGGCACGCACAACAAACACAAAATCTCAGAACTAATTAACCATCGATGTATATAAACCCTGGATTGCTGATTCTGTGTATTGTCCAGTGAGATGCTTTGAAGCCACCGGTCGGCCATATTGGCACTCTCCAGAAGAAGCAGTCCTCCATAGCAATGAATGGAATTCTACATTATTCCAATTAAATGTTTCAAGGACAAAATTACTTGTATAATTTTTATATTTTTTATTGTGGGGATAGTAACTTGAGAACTAAAAAAATATATATATACTTTAAGGAAAATGTTTGTAAATATTTTTTTCATTTTTCATTTGTATGTTTAGCGCGCATAATATAATGTACACGTATGCATTAAGATGTCTGTAATAGAATAAACATAGACTTTAATACATTTCTATAGATTCCAACATTTTTTACAATGGTGGGGGAGTGCCAAGATGGAGGCAGCGCGTCTTCAAAACAGCGCCCCCTGTCAACCATCTAGTGAATATATAAATCATTGTAATTAAC